TAAGTGGTGTTCTGAATTTCTTAGTGCACTCTTACTGACAGAGGCACCTCTCAAAGGATATTTTTAAGTAGGATAATCAACAAATAAAAATAACAATATATAACAGGCCCACTACAACAAAAATGTAAGCTAAATATATGAGTCATAATCATTGCAAATCTACCACTCATTACAGTGCATAGTATTTTTTTTAGCTGTTCAATAACCCATTGTTTCTACTTAATGAGAATTTTCCTTAAAAAATTTAATACTAATTTAGGTTCTTAAAAATATAATTGAAGCCAGAGTTTGTTAAAGAATTAATTTAAGAAATACTACCAAAATAGAGAAACTTTAAATTCTATTCTTTTATAAAGGTTTTTATTAATTGAACCAAATTCGAAAATTCCTTTAAGATAAGCAACCAGTGTATTAAGTAGTGGTAAACATACAGTTGACCCTTGAACAACCCAAGTTGGAATTGGGTAGGTCCACTTAGATTTTCTTTGGCCTCTGCCACCCAAAGAGAGCAAGATAGAACTCTCCTCAGAGTATTCAACGTGAAAATGAGGAGGACGGAACCTTCATGATGACCTATTTCCACTAAATGAAGAGTAAATATGTTTTGTCTTTTTTTATAACTTTCTGAGTAATATTTTCTTTGTTCTAGTTTACCTTATAAAATACATTATATAATACACATAGCACAATGAATATGCATTAATGCATTGTTCCTATTATAGGTAAGGCTTTTGGTCAATATTAGTAGTTAAGTTTTAGGGGAATCAAAAGATATATGCAAATTTTTGACTGTGCAGAGACGGAGTTAGGCCCTCTAACCCCTGCAATGTTCAAGGGCTACCTATATAAACATCATACAGGTAGTTCCTGAGTTAGAAACATCTCGCTCACATACAGCTCACACTTACAAATGGAGACTATTATAGTAAGTCCCCAAGTTACAAACAACAGCCTGACATACAACTTGCACTTACAAACAGAGGCTATTACTGTTAATAGGTAAGTGTACGTGTTCCAACTTACATATAAATTTAACTTAAGAACAACCCTATAGTACTGATCTCCTCTTTTTTTTTTTTTAGAGGCAGAGTCTCACTTTGTCACTCTCTGCAGAGTGCTGTGGCATTACAGCTCACAGCAACCTCCAGCTCTTGGGCTTAAGGATTCTCTTGCCTCAGCCTCCCAAGTAGCTGGAACTACAGGCACCCACCACAAAGCCCACCTATTTTTTGTTGCAGTTTGGCCAGGGCTGGATTCAAACCCACCACCCTCGGTATATGGGGCCAGCTCCCTAACCACTGAGCCACTGGCGATGCCCTATAGTACTAATCTCATTCATAACCTGGGGATTATCTATAAGTCCAATGAAAAGAATAAAAAAAAATTGAAGTTGGAAGGAATCCACATAGGAGCTTTGAAAGAATTCAAAGAGGAAATCTAACAATGACTCAAATAAGGTCTATGTAGTTATAAACTCTTGAAGAGTTGGCTGATTGATTATTTAAGTCCCTAAAGACAAGAGGGTTTAAAAGTTAAGCTAAAAAGCAATCTCAATTTCATTGTTGGGACATTTTCTGAGGTTATTTTAAATAACAAGATTCTTCACTGTGTAAACAATTCAACCTACCAGTATATATTATGAGGTTTCTATAAAAGGAAGTCAATACAGTATTTACTGAAGCTATTGAAGGAAAAAAAATATGTCCATGAAAAGAGACTAATTTATCTTTGCTTCTTAAAAATTAAAAATGGAATACCGGTCACAAATGTCTGTGGTGGTTATCTCTAAAAAAAAAACTAAAACATTAAAGATAAATTTAAAAGTGTGTTGAATATATTTCTAACAGTTTTATATCAGGAGCACATCTTACAGCATCTTGATGTCATGAAGAACCTGTCGATAACCAAAGCTGTATTTAGTAGTTTGGGTGTATTTCTAGATTCAGACTAAGATACAATGAGTTTTAAATCTAAATTTAAAAAAATTCAATAGAAAATTTCAATTTTAAATTTTTATAAGTACATCTTGAAATATTTGTCATCTGCATAAGGCACAAACTGAAATTAGTATCACTCCCTTCCAAATAACAAACTAGTTACAGAGAAGGCAAGTTCCCAGCTTTCCTTTAGCCCATCAGAGCATTCAGGTGACAGATCAACCACCAAACTTCACATCTAAACAGATGCAGATCCATCAAGGAGAGATATAAA